ACTGACTTTAAAACGAGATAATCTCAGAGCGCACTCGACTATACAACCGTCTTGCCTCACGTCAGTTCTGCTTCTGTGTGCAGGTGTAGGGTGTGTGTAGGGTGCTTGTGCAATGAATTAGTGGAGAGGCATCTAAATTAAATGTTTCAATATATAAATTTTCTAATTCATAAATGCTTACTGAAGTTGGTGCAACTAATTGCAGAATTCTTTCTTTAAAATGAATGTCCCCATCATATGTGTCTCTAATTGCTTTTAGAGTAGCCATTTTTAATTAATTTATTTTTATTTATTTATTTTTATTTTATTCCATTTTCTTTAATTTTTAAAATTTCAATACAGCAATATTTATACCCGTTACTCGTAGAGTAAAAGGGTATACTAGATTCGTCGGAAAGTATGTAACAGGCAGAAGGAAGCGTTTCCGACCCCATAAAGTATATATATTCTTGATCAGGATCACTAGCCGAGTCGATCTAGCCATGTCCGTCTGTCCGTCTGTCCGTCTGTCTGTCCGGATGAACGCTGAGATCTCGGAAACTATGAGAGCTAGGCTATTGAGATTTTGCGTACAGATTCCTGAGCTTCTTACGCAGCGCAAGTTTGTTTCAGTAGACTGCCACGCCCACTCTAACGCCCACAAACCGCCCAAAACTGTAACTCCTACAGTTTTGACGCTAGATATAAAATTTTAACTGAAATGTATTGTTCTCATCAATACCTATAGATTGACCTAAAAAAAAGTTTGCCACGCCCACTTAAACGCCCACAAACCGCGAAAACCTGTGACGCCCACAATTTGCATGCTAGATAAAAAATTTTAACTGAAATGTATTGGTGTCGTCGATACCTATCGATTGATCCAAAAATAAATTTTCCACGCCCACTCTAACGCCCTTAACGCTTAAATCTGTCTACCGCCGGTAGGTGGCGCATTTTAATATCGCTTTGCTGCTTGCATATCTCCATTTCCCTTTGAGTAACGGGTATCTGATAGTCGAGGTACTCGACTATAGCGTTCTTCCTTGTTTTATATTAATGTTGTTTGTGCCAAAATTTTTAAATTTTGTCCAGATCATTTGCCTGGCTCATATATATTTTCTTAAGACATTTATTATGCAATTTATAAAGTTCATAGAAAAAGTTTGCGCACATTATAACAACAATTATTATTAGCAATGTATGAATTAATTCTAAGTCAATGGTGTTTGACTCTACCATATTAATAACATTTGCAGTGGAATCCACTGTTTTTGTATCTATTAAACCCATATTTGGGGTTGGTATTCTTAATATATACACTGCGCGTCATCAGATTAGCGCCCCCTGAGCATTCTCGTATAATGTCCAATATTATCCAATCTATCAAGGCTTAAGCCATACAAATTTTTTTGACGATACTTTTAATAATATTCTTCAAAATAAGATAAGGTACATAATGATAAGTATAACAATAATATTTTATTTATTTCAAAAGAAAATGTATACCAAAAATATGAATTTAATTTTGCGTCATCAGATTAGCGCCCCCTGCTTAAATTTAATGAATTTTCACTTAATGCTTAACAACTAGTAGTGTTTTATGTTTTATCTTATTATTTACTTATTTTCTAATCAAATTAATAGGGGGTGGTCCCGCCCCCATTTTCCAGGACCTCACAGATCCTGCTGGGAAGTGACTCGTACAATTTCTCAATGTATTGTAATGATATTGAAGACCAAGCTTCTTTAATCCCGTCGATGAACTCCAATTTTGTACTATACTGCTTTCCAGACTCGTATACTTTTCACGAGAGCCATCCCCACACGTTCTCTTTTATATTTAAGTCCGGAGAGTACGGCGGCCACTCCAAGACATCAACGTTTTGGCCCTGTATCCACGATTTTACAGATCGGGCAGTGTGGATTGGAGCGTTGTCGTGTTGAAAAAGCCATTTAAGATTTCCAAAAGATTATTATACGCCACGGCGTTCATTTTCGGGGTGAGAAATTGTAACTCATAGGTGCCATAATAGGATATGGCTCCCCATACCATTACGCCACCTACCCGGCTATGTAAACGATCTAAAATATGCTCTTCTTTACGCATGTCATGGAAAGAATAATTATAGCCGTCAGGGCCTTCTAAATTAAATTTTTTTCATCGGAAAAGACTACAAAGCGCCACTCCTTCGACCATGTCATATGCGAGCGAGCAAAATTTAGGCGCATTTCCTTTCGTAACTTATTTAGTTGTGGTTTTTTTTTAGTTTCAGTCTTTTCAAGTGCTCTGCTTTTTTATGACTCGTAATACCGTGGACTTGCTAGCTTCCACACCGCTTTTTTCTTTACTTTTGGTAAAAGAGTCGTGTGAATTAGACGCATGTCTAACTATAGACCGAATGTCTGCTTCGGAAAGAACTCTGTTGTTACCGCCTTTCATATTTTTACCATAGCCTTGTTTATTTTTAAGAAAATTGGCTATAGTTTTCGATGCCTTCCCATTTTTTCAGCAATTTTATGTTAAGATAAGCCACTTTCACTAAAGGCTTCGGTCTTAGATTTTTCTTCTAAAGATAGGACAGTTCCTTTACCCATTTTGATTCTCAGTTTATAAACAATAATTGAATAATTGTCACAGCACAAAAAATTTCACAACTGTACGCCAAAAATTACGCAAGATAACTAAATTTGAATTTACAGGCGCTAATCTGATGACGCAAAATCAGTGCAAGCTTTTGCAGCGAAAGTAAAACAAAATAATGAAAAAATAGATAACGGAATCTCTCACCTAACGGTATTTCTCTCAGAGAGCGACAATTTGTGCATTTTAAGAGCAACAAAAAATTTGGAAGTTGCGTGCAATAGAAACAGAGATAGATGCAATAAAGTAAAACCAAAAGGGGGGCGCTAATCTGATGACGCGCAGTGTAACTTGGTCTGTCAAATATTTTAGATTTTTGAATTGATTCGTAAATGTTGTTAATGTTATTCATAAACAACTAGTTTGATATGATTAATTTTGATTTGATTTTTTTTTTTGTTTTTGACCAATTATTATTATATTTGACATATAATTTCCTGCCTATTTTGTGTATGGTTTTCAGGCCATACTCTAATCGGGCAACTTTTATGTCGCTCAATTTTTACATTTGTTTTTATAAAATAAATGAAAAAATATGTATCGCAGTGCAATTAAAAAAATTTTTGCAACGCAGTGCAAAGAAAAAAAAATTATGCGCTCTTGGTAGCGCTGTCGTTTCACTCTTCCTTGGTACCGGTGCTGGCTGCACAGGTGTACGTCATGGTGGGGCACCGGTGCTGGCTACACAGGTGTACTCGCAGAAGGGGGAGTACAGTGGTCCCTCGCAGTCATCCGGGCACGTCTTCTTCAGCTTTGGGATGGCAACTTTTTCTGGAGGAGGCAATGTGTTTTTATTTTTGGCAATATTTGGGATTACAAGGTAGGTGGATGTGTCTGTGGCTGTGGTCTGATTCTTACGTACTGATAGCAAATTTTTTAGGTATTCAACTTCGGCATGTATTTTTACCGAGTCGGTCCACTTTATTGCTTCGCCGCTGTTGAGCAGCTTCAGTAGTTGAAACAAAACACCAAGATCGTATACTAGAGTTATTTTATCTAATTAGCCGTCACTCAGCGCGTATGTCTTTTATTGAGGATTGACACGACATTGACCTTACCCTTAGAGCCATTTAAATTGTAGGGCGGACTGGCAAGAAGTAAGTACAAGGTACTGTAGGCATAATTTAACACCGTCTGCGTACATTGGTACACGAGAATGAGTTATAACTGAGGGAAGGACATTTAGAAATAAAGTAAAAACCAGCGGCCCCAGGTGAATCTCTTGTGGGACAGCGGAGGTAACGCGGAGTAGATAAGAGAGAATTTTTAAAAAGTAATCTTTGTGTTCTGCAATTCAGATAATTTCAGATCCATCTTAAAGGATCAACAGGGAACCCTAATAAATCGAGTTTTATAACCAGAAGAACTTGATTTACAAAGTCAAATGCTTTACTTCATGATCTACGTTTCATAAACCCGTGTTGACATGGAGATATAACTGACCTACAAAGGTCCTGCCAATGTGGAGTACTAACTTTGCTGCCCTTATGGAATTACAAACCATTCCTTCCACTTACGGGAAAATTGTGAAGATTTTAAAGATAAGGTAAACAATTTGTGATGGGGGTTCCACAAGTCCTCCGGGCAATATCTAAGCACGCACCAAGAAGTACCAACGGAACCAGGCGAATAGACGGGCCTAACACGTTGAAGACCAATCGAATATTTAATTCGACTTGGATACAGAATATGTCGTTTGAAAAAACGTGGCAAATAGATCGGCTATTGGCTGATCAGTTGTTGCGGTAATATTTTCAAAAGATAGCGAGGAAGGATAATTGGTGGATTTTCGATTAGTGCTAACAAAATTATAAAACTTTCGGATTCTGAGATAATTGAACTTTACAACGATTTAAATAGTTTTTGTAGCACAGAGAGTTTAGCATGGTAAAACTATTCCGAGCACTTAAGTATCTAGTAAAAATAGATTGAGATCGGGTATTTTTTATCTGGAATTCTTATTTCTTATTATTTCTGTGCCAGCTCTTAACTGAACCAAGGTGGCTTGTTGGAGACTGACGGATACACAAGAATTAAAAAACCAATTTTACGGTACTATAGATAATATTTATAGCATCATCCATATTTTGGGATGAGTAGAGATCGGACCAATCAAAGCCTGATATTAAAGTTTAGCATCTGAAAGTCAGCCTTGCCAAAAAAACAATGCAATCGCTTAGTTGACTTGTGATTTTTTTTACTAACACAGCACCAGTGTCGATGTAGACCTCGAAAGCAATACGCTATGGATCTTCGGGTTGAGTAAGAGGTGCTACTTTGGTCATACGATTGACTGTGATCCTACAAGTTATATATGTTTTTTTTGCAGATATAAGCACATTTACCATTTACTTTCTAATGTGTGTGCGTAACGTTTTTAATTTTTCTTTTATTTCACGCAGGCTACGAACAGCCGTACGAGCCCCCGCACTACAAATATCCTGCGACGCTTGCGCCGCCACTTCATGTTCTCATACAGGCAAGCAACGGAGCCTCGGACTACGGAAACAAGTTTGGAGAGCCAGTGATTTCCGGTTTTGCCATTTCCTATGGGTTAAATAGTGCAGATGATACGCGGAATGAGTACGTAAAACCGATTATGTTCAGCGGTGGCCTAGGCACCATGCCGGCATCAATGCGCGAGAAGCTGCCACCGACTCGTGGTCAGTTGCTAGCCAAGATTGGAGGTCCCGTGTACAGGATAGGAGTGGGGGGCGGCGCTGCAAGCTCCCTAGAAATACAAGGATCCGGAGATGCAGAACTGGACTTCAACGCCGTCCAGCGGGGAGACGCCGAAATGGAAAACAAGTTAAATCGGGTAGTGCGCGCCTGTCTAGAACTGGGCGACCAAAATCCTATACTGGCCATTCATGACCAGGGGGCAATGACCATTCATGGCAATGGTAACGTCCTCAAAGAACTGGTTGAACCAGGGTTTGCCGGAGCCATTATATTTTTCAAGGAATTCCAGCTAGGGGATCCCACAATTACCGCCCTTGAACTGTGGGGCGCTGAGTACCAGGAGAACAACGCCATTCTCTGCAAGGCAGATCATCGTGATCTGCCGGCGCGAACGCTGCCCTATAAGCTTCGTGGGAGTGGTGACTGGGGATGGGCGTGTGACACTGCTAGAGAGTTCTTCCCCCAAGGATTTTGAACAGGCTCTGAACGAATTTAATTGCAGCACAGCATACCCTTTCGATTTGGAGCTCAAGTATGTTTTGGGCGATATGCCAAAGAGAACATACGACTTGAAACGCGAACTGAGGCAGCTAAGAGAACTGTGTCTACCAAAAGACTTGCGGCTGGACGAGGCTTTGGAGAGAGTTCTTAGCTTAGTGGCTGTTGGTAGTAAGCGCTTCCTCACTAACAAGGTTGATCGCTGTGTCGGAGGATTGATCGTGCAGCAACAGTGTGTGGGCCCGCTTCAGGCTCCACTTGCGGACTACGCCTTAGCAACTTTCTCCCATTTTAGCAATGCCGGCATCGCCACCTCAATTGGTACCCAGCCACTCAAGGGACTGCTTGATCCTGCCGCAATGGCTAGGATGTGTGTCGCTGAAGCGCTGAGTAACCTCGTATTTGTAAAGATAAGTCAACTGGCAGACGTCAAGTGCTCAGGTAATTGGATGTGGGCTGCAAAGCTGCCCGGGGAGGGCGCCAGGATGTTTGACGCCTGCAAGGAGCTCTGTCACATTCTTGAGGAGCTGCAAATTGTTTTCGACGGGGGAAAAGAGTTCATGGCTGCCAAGGTTGGGAACGACACAATAAAGTCCCCAGGTACTCTTGTCATCTCCACATACGCTCCATGTCCGGATGTGCGGCTTAGGGTTACACCTGATCTTAAGGGACCCAGCTCGGACTTTAAGTCTGCGCTGCTCTGGATAAATCTGGAAAGCAGCCTTCGCTTGGGTGGTTCAGCTCTGGCACAGGCATACGCTCAGCAGGGCAATGAGACGCCTAACTTAACGAGAAGTGATCTGCTTGGCAAGGCATTTAAAATCACTCAATCGTTATTGGTAGATGGCCTTCTTAAGGCAGGACACGATGTCAGCGACGGAGAATTGATCGTTTGCCTATTGGAGATGGCTATAGGTGGGCTGAGTGGCCTAAGAGTAGAACTGTCGGAGCCCTTGAAGTCTCTAAAGAGCTACGATGCGGCTGTTGAGAAACTGGATCGTCCCGAACTAGCTCTTCATTTTGCGGAGGAGTGTGGATGGGTAGTGGAAATATTAGATGCAGACCTTGAGCGCGTTCGATCCATCTACAATGACGCCGGAGTGCCAAACTACTATTTGGGTCTCACCGACGGATTCGGACTTGATTCCCGAGTAGTTGTTAAGCACGGTGCGTCGGAGCTGCTGAATCAGCCACTCCGTCTGGTACCAGTTACGAGCTGGAGAAGCTGCAAACCAATCCGGAGTGCGCTGAGGCCGAGTATAACAGCCTTAAATATCGCCAAGCGCCGCAGTACAGGGGTCCCTTGAACCTGCAGGCTGAGCTATCTCTCAAGCGATCCTGCGCCCCAGTTCGAGTGGCTGTGCTTCGAGAGGAGGGCGTCAACAGTGAGCGTGAGATGATGGCCTGCCTGCTAAAGGCAAACTTCGAGGTGCACGATGTCACCATGTCGGATTTATTGCAAGGTAAGCTGGCTTATTTTTTTACACAATCCGGGAACTGCAAATATTTCTTTTAACCAAATCAGTAAATATAAATTATTTATATGTAATTATTAATGAAAAAAGAAAGCTTTTCTTTCGTCGTCTCGGATTGCTGGAGAGCAAATGACTGCCTAGACGACTCCGATTTCCAGCATCTCAGAGTCTGTCCTTCAATTCATTTTCTTGACCCAGCCACTGTGAACACTCAAAATATTTTACGTCTGTGGTGGGAACTGAAGGAAAGCATTCCTCACTACGGACGAAAGAAATTATGACGACTAGTTAGCGCGCTTCGCCTTTATAAAGAAGCACGAGCCGCACACCGTGTGCCTCAATTAACTTTTTTCAGCCATTGCGAATTTGTGCAACGCGAAGGACAAGTCCGATGATGTATGTTAAAAATCAGGGACCGTAATCATTATGAGTTTAATTTTAAAATTAAAAAAAAAATCATTACTTTGGTAAAAAAAAATAAAACTCAGAATTAATCATAATTTTTAAGTTTTAAATAAAAATCAAAAAAATAAAAATAATTCCTGAGCAAAAAAAAAAACCAAAAATAATGAATATTTCTGATTTTTATTTTCTTGATCAAATTGAAACCACATCTTTCCTGTTGTTGAATTTTTTTGAATAAACCTACAAAAGGGATGCAAAGGTGTCTCCTGGAAAACAAAATGGTTATATTGGCCTTCTGCATCCTTGCAGATGATATTTTTGCTTTACACAATCTTCAAAACAAATGGGACAAACATTTAGCACACACACAATATCTAAGCACCCGTTTCCCAGTAATCCACAAATCTTCTTAAGAATTGGCGCCTATTGAGAGTTTCTTTTGATATCAAACCAACCCCGTTACCCAGTCATCCACACAATCGTAAGATATATAATATGTATATACAATAATATTTTAACTTTCATTGAGTTTTACAAAAATTAACTGATAAGGACGAGCTGGAGAGGTTACATCTAAGGTCCGTCAACAAAATGTTTAGTGTGAAAATGTTCTCTCGACGTAAACCTGTGTCCCGGGCAGAATGCACAGCTTGTGTAAATATAGCATAGCTCGCAAATAGTCAGCAAAAGACCAATAGACCCAAAAACTCAACGCAAACGGTCTTCACATTTGTTTTCGTTGTTGTGAAAAAGATATAATATAATTTGTTTAATAGAACAATTTAAATTTATTTTCAAATATTTTTGCTAACAAGTTCCATTTTGATTCCATATACCATATAACAAAATGCTATCAAAAAGCGAGCTCTGATACCAATACATACGTAAAAGACGTTTTGCTTCACTGAACACGACAAAACGGTCTTGGAACAACCAGAACAAAACAGAATAGAAAAAAACGTTTTCGCTCTGAGCGCAAGCGAGCTTATTTAAGAACCTATAAATCGGTTGCTCTCTGAGTCTTTTCGTAAAGAGTCAGGAAAAGACACTTTTTTGCAGAAAACGAGAAACGGTCGACAGTTATTTGCGAGCTCTGAAAAATAGGCATTCCAATTTATGTTCTTCCCAGTACTGCATTACGTTTTCACTAAGGTTGGCTGATTTCGGGCAATAGCTGTCGAATACTATTAGCTAATTTATTATTGGATGTTGTCGAAGTCAAGGACGATGTCGAAGCCAATAATGAGGATGAAGGCGATGCCAGGGATGAGGTCTATGCAAAGGATGAGGTCAATAGGGATGAGATCGATGCCTCAGACTTCAAATTAGTTTGCAAAACAATATAATTTAAAAGCTTTTCGGTGCTTCAAAATTTATTTACCTACACCGTTTTTAAAATTGACTATTTGAATCAAAAGCTGTTTCAGGGTTGCTCTGGCAAGCATATGACTGGTCGGATTTTTCAGTAATGCTCTGCGAATGCGCGGATCCAAGTAGATGCTACATACAATCAATTTGTTCTCTATTATGCTTTCTTCCCTTGTTTGGATAAAACTCTGTTGTAATTTTTCTGGCTTGCAGCGACTGTTAGCCCAAGCTCTAACCAAAGCCTATAATATCGCCCAGGAATATTTGGCTGCTTTGCAATTTTTCAAAGGCTAAGTAGGCTGGCTCCAAAGTTTTGGTGAGGCTTTTTAATTCGACACACTCTTTTGCACATAACTTCACAGGGGATTTTAAGTGTCGCTCGCAAAACTGATAACCCAATTAGCTTTTATTTAAGAAATTAATAATATAAAATGTAACTATTTTAAATAACATATAAATAAAGTTGTTAGTGTTGTGTGAGCTCTTCTTCCAACTCGTCGTGAGGGATTTCGCCATTATCGGTTTCAAACTCATTAAGCAAATCTACGGCTTTTATCATGTTTCGGCTATTATCAGTACTGTAAATCTCTCCCTTTCTTATATTAAATTCATCTAATAAAGACTGAATTTCGGTGCAGAGATTGTGTGACGTATGCGATTTCTATAGCTCTATAAGGACCAATGTGTTAATGAAAAACTTTTCATCTTCGATAAACTGGGCATTGACTCCGTGATTGAACCTCGTAGCAGTATCCATTTTGAGGCACACAAAACGATCTTTTAACGCGTTTATAATCATTTTTATGGATTCGCGTTTCTCCTCAATAAATGCCGTAATAATCCCGAAATATTTGGCATGTAAACGTTCCAAACCCAGTGGAATCGAAAATAGCCAATGAAAGTTTTTCCGCAGTTACTAATTCGATGCACAAAAATGCTTCCTTAAGTCCCATTTTGACAGAAAACTTTTTCTTCTACCTGGCTGTTATTGCTTCCGACATCGTCTTCTTAATCCATTCTCTGCTTGGCTTCCAAATGCTTGCCTAATGCTGAAACGCTAATGATAATGCTAACAAATGATAACCTAATTCTGAAACGCGTTTCTAATAAAATTAGTAAAATCTTACCTTTTTATAATGAATTTTAAGCAACTAAATTATATTAGTATTTTAATAATTGGCTTGATTTTAAAATAAATACTTTAATATTCGCTAATTCTTAAGAAGAGAATTAACTTCCTTTTCTTCTTAAGAATTAGCGGATATTAAAGAAGATAATTAACCCCCTCATCGTCATCTAGCTCAAGGCCCAGTAGCTATAGGTAGAGTAAGTGGTTGGTGGCAATTTGCAATTGTCTCAAAACCAGAATATAAATAAATAACTTCCTAATCTTTAAATTGTGTGGATCACTGGGTAAGTTGGTGGTTTGGTATTTAAATCAATTCTTCAGTAACCGGGACTTCTCAAGACGTAGAGGATTAGTTTCTACAGATTGTGTGGATCAACTTAACTTAATAAAAGACATTGAATAATATTGGTACGTTTGTTAAATGTTGATCCCATTTGCTTTGAAGAATGCCTAAAGCAAAAATATTATCTGCAAGGATGCAGATGGCTAATATAACAATTTTGTTTTTCAGGAGGCACCTTTGCTTTTCTTTTGTAGGTTTAGGTCGGCAGAGGGAAGCCGTGGTTTCAAAATTAGTTTTATTTTTTTAAATAATCATTATTTTTTAGGAATATTTTAAAAATCACAAATTTTAAAATCATGATGAAAATGGATAGGCGAACCAAAGAGTATTTTCCTTTTCCGCGTGTTCGATCCTAAGGGGGTGATTTGTGATTCAAAAACCAGATTAATAATCATTATTTACAGTCCCTGTTAAAAATTGAAGTCAAAGCATCGTGAAAAACATTAAAAAAGAAATCCAACGTGTCACTTTAACTTTATTATTATGCTTAAATTAATTTAGAAAATATTACACCCCCTTCCTGTGAATCGGTATGCCGTTCACTTTCAACACGTAGTGGGACGGGGCTGAGGAAAGTAGTAGCTGCTGTCTTAACGTCAACATATCAAACTTTCCCGTCTTAGCCGGGCTTTACTTTTTAATTCATCCCTTATTCCAAGAACTCAGGCCAAATCAGGATCTAAAACGAGGTCAAAAAAAGTAACTGTGGGAGGTACTTAGATACCTAGAGTTTCCTTTAAGGCTTGTGAGATTCTCTATGGATTTTTAGGCCGTATGACGCTTTACGACTGATGTGGAGTCCCTTTTACACAATTTCTTGATGTTCGGTCTCCAAAACTTTTGACGACATTGATTTATGGTAACTGCAAAATTCTAAATTCTTAAAGTGCGATAGAAATGGATAGGTTTCCTTTGCTGTCGGCGAAAAGGCCGGTCCATTTAACCAAAGGCTGTTGCTTGAGATTTTTGGTTCAGGCGATTTTCGAATTGAAGTGTCGACAGTATTATAGATGGACGGTGTTGCTTTAGTAGTGGCAAAGATTTCAACAATGCGGTGTCTTACAAAGGGTTTGAACTTAATAGTACTCGACTTTATCTCTGATGTCAGCAGCTACTCCGGTTTTGCTTATTCGAAATGGCATCAGTATGGGTAAAAGGGACTTAAAGTCATCAGGGCCTTTGAGAAGACAACAAGGTATTGAAATTGGTTCAGTGGTGGGTGCTGTATCAAAAACGATTCGTATTTTCACAGGTTTGTGTACAATGTGTACTGCAAAATGCGGTAGATACCAAATGCGTTGTTACTCCATATTTCGTCTTCCAGGTGTCTCTTGGCATATCCTTTGTCGATATATGTACTATAGCATTTCTTGTATATATACAGTGGTGCTCATAGACTTAAGCCACTGCCACTACCATAAACTGTTTTCTTAATAACTTTGTTTGAACATATTTATTTCTGCCAAAAATGTTTACATTTTGCAACACTGTTACTTAAGCAGCTGATCACAGTAAAAAATGACAAGTAGATATTCGGAGGTTCGCAAAAAATTTACTAAATGTCAAAAAGGAGTATTGCGCTCTGCTCATATACTTAAGCCACCTTGAGCTAAAATCGTCAAACTTGTGTTTTTTCCGGGAAAGTTTTGCTAGTTATTTTCTAAACTAAAATATTGAATACACCCAAAAAAAAACCAAAAGTATACACTTAATAAGCGTTGTGTTAAAAGTATACTAAAGTTA